CATCTCTCCTCCCCCACTTCTCTTTATTGCTAAGTTCCCTTCCTTGATCATTTAAGCTTTCAACCTTATTCCATTTCATATCACCTTCAGCATCACGTTTTTTTTATTTCAAAAGTTTTGCTATTCTCTTCATGGCTGGAGCTTCATATTAGGAGAGAACTACCAGCCATTTGCTGATTTTCTATTTTCTGCACCGTTACAATGCCATCAGTCAGGCAAAGATCCTACTTTTTGCTGCTGCCTCTTCCAAATAAATGGAATCCAAGGCCCAAAACTGGGGAAATGGCCACCAGTGAAAACAGATCCACCAAGGTGGACTATTGATCTTAAATTTAATTTAACTTAGACCTCAGAAGAGGCTTTGTCAACAAGCACCTCCTGTCTGTAACTGCCTTTGCTGCCACTTGTCTCTTTGAACAACTTTATTCTGCTTTTTATTGATCATAGTAATATTAATTCTTCCTTCATTACTCTTATCAAAGGCTACAAGACTCTTGGGTTGGCTCAATTCTACAACTAAACTGCTGATTAATAGGCAGACTTCTCTGCTTTCTTTTGGGAAAGGCTCACCTGGCAAAGATGTATTTATGTAGTGTCTCTGTGAGTGCTTCATATAACACAAAGATATTTACTTGATTCCGCCTTGCTTCACTCCAGCTTATAAATGTTAAAAGATACCTGCAGAATAATACAATACTAGACAATCTTAGTAAATACATTTTGTATTAAAATGCATTGAAACCGTCATCTTCTGTATGTTACCATAACAGGCAACTCCAGGCCTTTCTTTGTAGCATCTAATTCACTAAATTAATGTGCAAATCTTTTTAGTTGCTTCTCAGTGCCAGGAAAAAAATCCCTAACCCCTTTTACTGAATATGGTAACTGTTTATTTTGATGCGGGTTACAAAAAGTGCTTCATGGTTCTTTCTTAAAAGACAGCTTATTTTTTGCACTGGATTTACAGGTGAACAAGTATTAGCAACTTAGGTTAAAATTTATACTGGTTTACAAAGCTATGTACTGTAATCTTGCTTCTATAAAATTATCCATTTCCATTCAGTGCATTAAAATTCAGTGCAACTAACTTTGTTATTGCTATATAGTCAATAAATATGACTGAATACAGTTCTTCAATTGCAATTTTAGATGTCTGTTTTTGTCCAAAAAGAAAGTTAAAATGCATTTTTCTCCATACCTTTCTAATTTTTCCAGTCAGTATTTTTTTTGTCTTATCATAAGTATGCATAATCCAGTATATACATTTTTCCAAATATTTGTAAACTTAAAATATAAAAATAATTACATTTTCTCCTTGGTTTCCAGTTCCAGTGATCCACAACCAAATGCACAGTGCCAGAATACCAAAATAGAAGTCAATGTTTGAATTTTAATATGAAAGACCCAAATGCCTTAAATACTTACTTTAAGATAATAGTTAATCATTTCCAATAAAAGTAGTCATCTTAATATATACATATAATATTGGTTATATCAAGATGCTTTGTAATGTTCTTGCTGTAAGTGCAAATGTTAAGTGTTATTAATAAATATATAGCTGTGATGGCTCATTTCTCAAAAGTTAGAATTCACAATTTTCAGTCTTTAGGTACAGTCATGTTAACTGGGAAACTCAGCTGACGGTTGCAACAGCTTGGGTTTTTGCACCTTCATCTTCTGCACCTTCAGCATTCACTTGGTTTCCCTTACCAATGTTTTTCAAATTTTCCAGGGTGGATTTGAAAGTATCTTTCAGACTCTTCTCCAGGACCCATCCTTCACTTTCACATTCAGGATCTTCTGGATTGGTGATGCTTTCCAGAGAGGTATGCAACAGGCGTAACCCTATCATTATTAACATCTAAGTGAGATAGAAAATGAACTGTCAGTCAACTTGAGTAAAGGTTGGCTCATTTCACAGCCTATATATATATTGAAAAGAATCTTAATTATAAATAATCAAAAGTCCCAAAGCAAGAATATTCTTTACCAAATCTACAGAAAAATTGGATATATTAGTTTAAGTTTCAGATTACCCATTTATAACTTGAACAGTACATGCAGGTAGTCCTCGCTTAATGATGGTAACTGGGATCGGCATTTCTGTCACTACGTGATGCTGTTGTAAAGTGTGATGTCACATAATTGTGCAGATTTACAACTGGAGCTCTGGCACTTCCAGTGGCATCCATTAAGAAAATCCCAAGCAGCTGTTAAATACAATGTGGCCTGGTCACGTAATGCAGGCTTTGCTTTTCGGAAGCCAACAATAAAGGTTGCAAATAGTGATCTTGTGACCATGTGACTATGCAGACATTGCAACATCTGGAATTTCAAGGATTGGTGTTAAGTTCCACAATGATAATTAAGCTAGGACTACCTGTACTTATCCTTGTGTTCTATACCACCACAATCATACTGGTTGAAACTTATCTTCTTCCAACTCAGGCTCCTACCATAGATTTTAATGATTATGCCTTAAGCTAACCATAGGAAATAAACTAAAGACCACTGCCTTACCGTATTTCTACTGACTGTGACCAGGCTAAAAGGATGCCATATCAAAACCTGAAAGATGTATAACCATTTAGCGCTGTAACAGAGTTTACAAATGTTCAGAACAGGGATTAACTGGCAACTTGTAAACTCCCTAAGTATACTAACTTCCATTGCTTCCAGGATAAAACAGATACATTTTATATCAAATTGCTACTATCATACACAAATCAAGATATAACAAGGAGTGATACTATCTATTATCAGACCTTAGTGAAAATACAACAGCTGGCTTCTCCAACTAATTTGAAATTTCATTTTGTAATTGTATTCTAAATTCTCTTATGAAACTCTTTCTTGTAAACTGAAAGTTATTACATCTACATGTTTGTTTGTGCATAACTTCTGCTCTTTGGTTTTCATAAATATTCGATATGAAGCTCATAGGGAATCAGCTACTTTGAAGGCAGTCAAAATTAAAACTACTTAAGTATGTAAAAGCAAGAATTAGTACAGCTAGTCCTCAACTTACCACCACAATTGAGCCCAAAATTTATGTTGCTAAGTGAGAAATGTGTTGTGAGTTTTGCCTCATTTTACAACTTTTCCTACCACATTTATTAAGTGAATCACTGCAGTTTTTAAATTAGTAATACGAATCTTGTTTCCCCAATGACCTTGCTTGTCAGAAGCATCTGAATGTAAATCATGTGACCATGGGGATCCAGCAATGGTCATAAGTGTGAAAAATGGTCATAAGTTACTTTTTCAGTGCTGTTGTAACTTTGAATAGTCACTAAGTGAACTATTGTAACTCGAGGACTACCTGTGCTTGAAATTGAGGCAGGAAAAATAGGCTTGCAACCCATAATAAGGAAGCATATAGTAACTACTTAGGTTTCCCAAGAAAAACTCTTGGAATAATCTGGATGGTCAGACATTATTTCATTTTCATGTAGACATATGCTTCAAATAAACATATATTTTAGGAGTTTGCAGGGATTGCAACATTATCTTTCATTTTTAATATTCCTAGGTTTTCCTAATACAGAGTTATGGGTTATGCAATGCTTCTATAGGTGATTTATGGAACGTAGGGAAGAAAGCTGTAGCTGCAACTATCTTTCAATTGGATTCAATTTTCTTAGATCACACTGCAAACTTTCTAAAGGTCAGCTATAAATGATAACATTCTAGAACAATTCATCTACAGATAAACTGTAAAAAATGTATTATGGTCTTGTTTTTTCCCTTTATTTTAATAAAACTGAATACTTTTGAACTCAGTAAACAAACAGAGAGAATAAATAAAAATCAATCATAACAATTAAATAGAAATCATAAAATAAATAAAAAGAAAAACATAAATATAGAAACATGGGAAACCTGTTGCCAAGGCAGACATTTTTATGTTTTACAAATCCTGAAGACAGTTCGATTGGTGGACAATTTATCAGATGTTCTGATCCTAAATTCAGCTTGCCATTGGCATTTTGAAAAAGTCAAATTCTGATGATTTTTTTTTTAAAAAATCTATTTGTAATCTACTTTGGCAAATCTTTTAATGGCATCTGCAGACAGCAAGTTAAGTAGAGGTTAGTAAGTTTTAGCATAGTATCTTACAGTTAATACCCTTCTAACTGAATGAGCAATATCGTTTTTAAAGATAAATCCAGAATCCTGCTGTTTACAAATGTGTTTAACCTATTAGTCAATAAAGGGACAATTGTGACTCTTGAAAGTTGTTAACAGTAAAAAAATAAAGCCAATGACATGTTAGGGTTCTGTATTTGTTTTTTAGAGATCAATCAGAAAAACATATTTTCAAGAGTCACAATTTGTAGTACTTGTGAATATACCTTGGCATATACATGGTTTTAAGTCTATTTAAAATATTTTGTAGCATTCAAGTCCCAAACCATTCATATCAATTAAAATGAACATTTATATTCACTCATTAATGCAATGAACTTATTGAGTAATAATATCAGAATAATTGCAATTATACCATATATAAATACAAGAAAAATACTTTATTGACTTTAAAGCCTCTTAGATCTCAGTTTTCTCATTCAGGGATATGAAATATTGAACTGTGGAAGACATCTGAGAGACACTTTTTCTCTAATTGCTTTTGCCTGATCATCAATTTTGAGAAGGTTGCTGTGCTTTGGATCGTATTCTATTAAGCAGCACCATCTTATAGTACCCAGAAGATTATGTCTTCTTTATTATGGAGTAGCATCTCCTCCACAAAGGTCTGAAGGCTTTCAAGAAAATTTGAAGACCTGGCTTTTTCCACAGGGTATCTACTATGGAAGATGAGTTAACAGTTCCTTCTCTCTCCCAATATGCCCTCCTGTTATTTGTGGTTTTGAAGTATTGTTTTCTCTGTTTTTAACTTTACACTGGCCAGAGCCATTGGCTGAATGAGCACCTGAAGAAACTTAAATAATAAATGAATACCAATTTTCCAAATATTCAGAAATGCATACTTTTGTTTAATGTCCACATAAGTGATATGAGGACCAGTAAAAAATGGAGAGTTGAGAAAAAAATGGGAACTGGGGCTATGTCATCAAGTTGGCAAATGGCCCCCCACAAGAAGGTGTGGATCTATGTTTATTCCAAAATATCCCAACATACATCAGGTGTTTTTTTTTCATAAGAAAAAAAATCCACTTCAACAAGAACCTTTTATCCTATAGGACCAATGCAAAGTAGGTGAATTCTGACTGAGGAAAGAAAGAAAGGCAATGCAAGGAGAGGGAATGGCCTGCATAAATCTTTTACTATTCTTTTACTAAATCTTTTACTAAAATCTTTTACTATAAATCTTTTACTATAAATCTTTCACTTTTACTATTGTAGAGAAGTGGGATGAGGATCAATAAAGTATTTTCAGCCCAATTAAAATATATTTACCACACTAAAGGAAATTCCTCACGATTCCTATTACGTAGCAAAACATAATCAAATTTAACACGACAACTGTGTCAAATCTGATGTCCCTATAATCCTATAGGATAGCCCAGATGGAGGAAGGGGATAATACCTGTTTGTTTTTCTTCTGAAAACTATATTTCCCTCAAAAAAAAATCTAAACAAGGCTGATACCTGTATAACCCTGCAAAATTTTCTACAAAATGGCAATTATTCTACATAATAAAATCTAAACAAGACTGGTACCTGTATAACCCTGCAATATTTTCTACAAAAAATGATAATTGCTGTTGGTGCAATTCTTTGTGGAGAAGTGTCATGATTCTGAACAACTGAGAGAGAAATTAGCTTGCCAATTGTATTACCTCAAAAAGCCAGACAAAGAGGACAGTCACTCCCATGGAGGTCATTATGCCACTGTAGTAATTAAGGAGAGCCTCTCTGCAGCCACGAGTCCATAGATTGAGCTCTTCTGTTTGATAGTCGTAACTGTAGTGAGCTGAATTATTAGAAACTTGGTACTGGATGCATGGCCGTGGAGAACTTGGATTGCAGCAGCTGAAGGGAACGCTGTCCACCAAGTATTTGCCATCCACGTTACTTTTAATGCGACTGTAAATGAATAAGAGCAAATCTGTACTTAGGAACAGCCACTAAGAAAGATGGAGCAACATTACCTCCACTGGTTTCATCTGCAGCATGTGAATTAGTTTGCGTTTTTTCCTCAGAACATCTGGATATGATCTTTCTCATTTAAAACACCTGGTATTTTGTTTCTTGATCTAGATTGAGAACAGCCTTCTGGTTTGGGATGTATGTTATTGTCAAGCCTCAAATGAAAAAATGGGGAACTGTTTGGCACATTTATATGCTAATGAGGAATTAATTTGTGTTAAAAGGGGATGCAATATTAAGATGTTGGACTAGGACCAAGAAAGCCAGGGTCAAGTTCTCATGGGATTACCTTGAGCAAATTGCTTTCTCTTACTTTGACTTGCCTCACAGGGTTAGCATTGTAGTAGAAAATGAAAGGGAGGAGACTTAGGTACACAGCCTTGAGCTCCTGCATGAAAGGTAGAATGTAAATTTTACACAAAAATATATTTTCTTTTTAAAAATGTAGGTTTTTTTAAATAGTTAAAAGAAAATTCTCAATTTACGGTGGAAAAATGTTGATTGTATATTAATATAAGAAGAAAGGTAAGATTGCCTGTCCCATCATATTAATCCCCCCAATGTTGAATATTTTGCTTCAAAATAAAATTTTATTCATATTTAAATACTATTGACTAGTAATAACCAATTCAAACTTGAAGACTTGGAGCTAAAGAACTGTCAGCAGATGTCTACTCCTCCACCACCTGCAAACTTTTCCTGAGAATCAGAAAATTGTCTGGGCAAAGAATAAAACCACTAAAAATGGGAATGAACTTTGATTAATGGTATACTGTATTTTTGTACTGTTGTACTGACAGTAATGGGAGTACACTGTTGAATAATAAATACTGAAATGTATTGTAGATTATAAAAGGAGTGGAATTAAGGAAAGATTTCAATAATCATCAAAGAATGATAGCAGCCCTCAACTTACCATCTTTCATTTAATGACCATTTGAAGTTACAGCGGCATTGAATAAAGTGACGTATGACTTATTTTTCACACTTAAGACCATTGCAGTATCCCCCTGGTCACATGATCAAATTTCAGACACTTGGAAACTAACTCATATTTATGATGATTGCCGTGTCGGGTCATATGATCCCTTTTTGCGACCTTTTAACAAGCAATAGCAATGGGGAAGCCAGATTCACTTTACAACTGTGTTAATTAATAAAACACTGCCAGAGAAAAACACAAGGCAGTAAAGTTATTTGGTAATTTGTTCATTGTAAACAAGGGTGGAATGTCATTGTTGATTTACAATAAAAAAAAATAATTATTTTTATATATCATGTAGGATCAAAAAATATCATGATCAGATAATTTTTATAATATTAATTTTTTATTAGTCTGATAAAATCACTAGAGTTTTGTTCAGAATTGGAAGAGTGGCTATTTCAGGTATGCCCATTATTGAAAGAACTTTAACAATTGTACCATATGATAAATTATATTAATAGGCTTAGATGTTTTATCCAGTTTAAAATACCATTAAACACTAGGAAATATTTTGTGTGCATAAGAAATTATTGGAGTAAATGCAAACAGCTCATCAGTTAAATTCTGAATCAAGTCAATTTCTTTGATAATCTCTCTGCCTGCTGGTGGAAGGAAATTCAAATGAAACTGCAATGGCTCAATTAGATGAAAAGTACAAATGCTGGAAAGAGCCACAGAGAAATTTCTGTCTTACTGACAAAGGAGAATGTTTGTATCTCAGTACTTCTAGCACTGTTGATGTTATCTAGTTTGGATAATGAAATGTCAGCAAGGAGCTAAGAGAGCACCAAGGACGTTTCAAGTTTCGGTCTAGAATTTCTAAAACAAAATGAAGATCTCTTAAATGTCTTTGGAGTATTTTAACATTCAGGAAGATGTTGTAGAAGAAAATTGGATAAAAAAAAGGAATAGAGAATTAATGAATCAGGTTTGAATAAAAGTTTGTTTGATCATACAGACCGAATGAATGATGATCAAATTTAACTATAAATCAAACAAAATAACCATACAGAGAGTAAATGGGTAGTTAGAAGGACCAACAAAGTCTTATGGTTGGATGGTTGGAACGCATGAGATACTCAGAAAGAGAACTGTCAAGAACAAAAGGCAATGTATTAATAATGAATGGACATGATGGAAACAAGAGTGGACCTTCTACTGAATAGTGTTAGCATAAACTAGTTTTAAGTTTGTTTTTATTTTTTCATGCTTCTTTTGCTTATTACCACTTACACTTTTTTTTGCATAATTTTACAAACCCCAGAACTGAATAGTATTGATGGATAGCACTTACTGTTATATGTACAATTGGACTAATTTTAGTTCATTGGCTGCTTTGAAAAATGAAACACAAATTACAATCTGAAAGAGATGATCTCACCCTCCTTCACTTTTAGGCATAATGCCTGAGTTACATTAGAGAAATTGAATAATCCATGACATAATCATTTCCTGTTTCATGAATGATATATGAAATATCAAACAAATGGAGTACTAATGAAACAAATTATTGCATTTACAAGGGACAACCTCTTGAATTATGTTGTATGAATCATGGCCAGCAGCAATCCTTTTTACATCTTTAAAGGCATCTCTCTAAACTGGCTCTTCATCTTGTCCATCACAGATGGAGAATGAGGTCCCTTAGTTCAATGTGCTGGGATTTTCTTTTCTTTTTCTTTTTTCTTTTTTATTGATTTTACAGTAATTTCTTTGATTGTTGTGAGACGCTCACGGTTGTAGAAAGTTGATGGCATGCAAGTTTAATAAATTACTATTATGATTGGTTGCAAAGTCAGCCAGCTGTTTAGATTGGATTTGGCAGTGTTGTCCACCTACTGAGAGGTGTTAAAGGTATTGTCGGAGGATGTTAGCTGTTCCAAATAAAGCTTTTTTCAATTGACTGGTTGTGATTTTGTCAATACCAAATGCTGTTCAAATAGTGGTCCAGATGTTTTGGGGTTGCACCCAAGACACCTATTACTATTAGTACTGTCCTTGCTTTCTCTTGTCATAGTCATTCTACTTTTATTTGCAAGACTTTGTATTTTGTGGATTTTTCTTCAGTTCTTTCTCTTCTCTTCTGCTGTCTCTAAATATTGCAATGTCCACTGTCCCTACTTTTTTGTCTTTCTTATCAACAATTGTTAAGTCTGGGGTGTTATGTGGCAGGTGCTTGTCCATTGAATTGTAAATTATTATTATCACCTGAGGAATCTGAAAGTGATTAAAAGACCTTTTTTCCTGAAGATAATCCCGACTATTTATAATCTCCGAAGTATTATACACTAATTAGATATCCTTATCTCCACTCAGTCTCCTGCTGATTGCAGTATGAACAGGATAATGTCCCTGGGACATTCAAATACATTCTGTACTTTGATAATGCAAGCATTGTATGTATCTATATCCAAACTAAAATGAGCAATCACATTGTGTTCCTTGGTATTTAATGTTAGTAGTGCAACTATTTTTATACCTAAAATTCTATCACTATTTTTAAAAATAGTACAGTATTACACAAATATCTGTCAATGTAATCTTGTTTTATTTCTCACGTACTGTCCTCCTGTGGATGGATTAAACTCAAGCTCCAAATCTTCAGATAATGCCAGCATAGTGGACATCTCATTATACTTTTCCATCTAGTTATTTATATCAAGACATAATTTGAATGGTTCCCATTCATATATTTGTTCAGCATAACAAAAAAATTGTATTTATTTCATTGGACTACTTTAAAATTACAATATTTGAGTGAAAAATCACTACAAGCAAAATCAAAAGTTTTTGTTTTTGCATGCATCTTGAATAGTTCATATTTGTTCCTAAAGAAGAAATTATGAAAAGGTACTCAAATGTACAACATACAATGACATACAATGTATGGAAACTAATCAAGGAAAGATCCAA